TAATTGAAACTTAAATATGCAAATGCTAAATAGTTAAACCCAAGTTCAAAACATATTGGTTGGGTTGCCTTCCAGAAAGCGCTTCTTTATTGTCATTAGCTTGACACTTCATTAAGTCATGGATCATTGAGATGAATGACAGTGGTAAGTTTCTCAACTTCACCACCCAAATATGGCTTAACTCTTTATCCAATCACCATCCAGGATCTTCCAGAATTAGGCTCTTCCAACTCCACTGCCCCATAAGGCTTGACTGATTTGATCAAAAAGGGACCTGACCATTTGGACTTGAGCTTTCCAGGGAATAATCTCAACCTAGAATTGAATAACAATACTTGTTGGCCTGGTTGAAAGTTTCTATGCACAATTTTCTTGTCATGGTAGGACTTCATCTTACTCTTGTAAATTTTTGAGGATTCATAAGCCTGCAAATGCATTTCTTCAAGTTCATGAAGTTGCAGCTTCCTCTTTTCACCTACAGCTTTCATATCAAAATTTAATGCCCTCTCTACTGGTGTGGCTGATGAAAATTTTCTTTCAGCTTCCAAACACACTTCATCCATCACATCCACTCTAAAACAATCTTTCTTGTCATTTGGGTGTTTCACAGCTTCAAAAATATTAAAATTCACCTCATCACCATGCACCCTGACCTTGAGTTTGCCATCATCAACATCTATAATGACCTTAGTTGTCTTCATGAATGGCCGACCCAGAATGAGAGGAACCTCAGAATCCTCTTCCATGTCCATAACAACAAAATCAACTGGAAAGAAAAATTTATCAACCTTAACCAAGAGATCTTCAACAATACCATGAGGATACTTAATAGATCTATCAGCCAGCTGCAGAGTCATCCTAGTAGGTTTCACCTCCACATCACCTATCCTCTGTAACATAGATAAGGGAATCAGATTGCTGATAGCCAATAAATAAAATAATTAACTGACACACGAGAGATAGAAAATGGTGAATGGCAACGTGAAACTCAATTCGTATATATATTTTTGTGGAAGTGACCTTTGAATTATAGCACTGCAACCTTCCTCTAAATCCACTGTTTCATCCTCACTCAATTTTCTCTTCTTTGTCAGAAGGTCCTTCATGAATCTTGCATAAGATGGCATCTGTTCTAGGGCCTCTAAAAAGGGCATGTTGATCTGTAGTCTCTTGATTATATCAAGGAACCTTGCAAACTGTCGTTCCTTATCTTTCTTTGATGGAGCATGTGGATAAGGTAAATTCTTCACAAGAGGAGGCCTAACAACTTCTTTCCCTTTTTTCTTACTCTCCTCCCTCACAACTCCATTTTTCCTTCCATCATTTTCACTCTTTTTTATTTTTCTCATTTTTTTCTGCCTCTTTATTCACCTCTACCTCTTTCTCACTTTTCAACTCAACTTCACTCTTATCTTCATCCACTCCATCTTTATTTTCTCTCAAATTATCACCAATCTCCTTTCCTATCATAGTGCCTCTCTTGGTTGTGATTGACTGACAATACTCTTTAGGATTGACATATGTATTGGCTGAAAAATTATTGCTTTGTTGCTCTGCCAATTGCTTAGCCAACTACCCTATTTGCACTTCCAGATTTCTAATAGAAGCTTCAGTATTTTTCTGATTGGTTGTGGAAACCTGCATAAACTGTGTAAGAGCTTCCTCCATTTTTGATAACCTGTATGGCTGATAAGAAGATTGATTTTCATATGGCTTCTGTGGAGGTTGCCTTTGTGATGGCCCTACTCCTTGCTTCCAACCAGAATACTGATTTTGATTATTCCTCCAGCCTTGATTCTGATTATAATTGCCAGAGAAATTCCCTTGCCTTCCTGGAGTAGTTCACTTCCTCCTCCTGGTCTGGTTCAGAGATGGTGCAATGTCCATTTGGGTGATCACCTGCACAAAAATCACATCTCATCACCTATTGAAGGCGTGAAGATGATCCCACTTGAAGCTTGGATATTTGCTTCTTTAACTCTTCCATCTGCTGAGAAAGAAGTTTATTCTGAGCTAGAATTGCATTTTGAGTATCCAGTTCCAGAATTCCCCTTTTTGTGGGCTGGCTCCTATCATGGTGAGCTTGGTAATCACTGGCTGCCAAAGCATCAATAATAGTGATTGCTTCCTCAAAATCCTTCATCATCATAGAACCACCTGCAGAAGCATCCAATAACATCTTTGTTTGAGGCCTTAACCCATTACAAAACATGTTGAGTTGTGCAACATCATCAAACCCATGATTTGGGCATTTTCTCAATAAAGACTTATATCTCTCCCAAGCTTCACACAAAGGTTCATCAGCACCTTGAGAGAATGTTGCAATTGCTGATTTAGCACTTATATATCTGGAAGAAGGAAAGAATCTAGCTAGAAACTTCCGCTCTACATCCTCCCATCTGGTCAAACTCTGATTTGGGTGGGCCTGCAGCCATGTCTTGGCCTTACCTGTCAAAGAGAAAGGAAATAATCGCATATATACTGCTTCTTCATCTTCTCCAGGAACACCCATAGTGCCAATAAGCTCATAGAAAGAAGATAGGTGTGTGTAGGGATCTTCATGGTCCATCCTTGCAAATTAATTGGCAGTTATGAGAGATAGTAATGTTGGTTTCATTTCCACCCCCTTAGTTGGCATGGCTATACTGGAGAAATGCCTAGGACCCAACTGATGATTATATTCTCCTAGGAGTCTCCTTGGAGGTTGATGATGTGGTCTATCACCACCCGGTCCTTCTTCAGCCATTGGTTCAGGAGTAGAATATTGAGCTGAAACTAAGGTGGAAGTACCTTCCTGTTCCTGCCTTAAATAGCAAGCTACAAAGACTGATTTAAACAAAAAGGTTAAAATAACCAGGTAAAGAATATATTTAACAAAAAGAAAACAAAACAAATATACACAACAAGCTACAACAAGAATAATAGAAATCACAAACTGTCTTGACACAAGTCCCCGGCAACGGTGCCAAGAAACTTGTTGGAATTCTAGGCAAGCGCACCCAAGTCTCTATAGTATAATTAAAAGGTTGTAGATCCTCAAGGACTTGTGAAGTAAGCCTTGATTTCTATTATACTAATTGATACTTGTGAATTTAAATCTCGAGTAATTACACATGTTCAAATTTGATGTGAATGACTGATCAAACTTAAGTAACCAAAGGCTAAATTAATTTTAATGAAAACAGATATGAGAAACAGTTGGGATTAGATTTCATCAATCTCCCTCCTATGCATTCCTATTGACTCTTTCTAAAGATTCCATTACTCATTGCCATTGGGTTCTCTAAATTCATTCAGACCCAATCCCTTGGCATAAGAAATTCTAAGATATTTAACTCAATGAATGATTCCTCACTTCATTCAGTTAAATATCCCGCATTAAGAGTCAGAACTTGTTGCAACTATTAATTTCAAGACCATCCCTGGCTCTCAAAACTAATAGGTGATTCGTTCCAAGTCTAGATTTAGAAAACATTTTCTAACCAAATTCTAAACCCAAAATCAGAGATAAATGATCAGTTCATCAAAGTATTAAGAACAGAAACAAATCACTGACATAGAGTAATAGATGAGATATATATATGAATCAAAGAGGAATACAAAGGAGTTCGACGATTACATCAATCACAACCCTAGAGCTTAACTCTCCATAGTACAAGAAATCACCCAATAACAAGATGAAAGGTAGAAGAAGGAAGGAATCCTTTGAAGAATTGTGCCCCCAAGAGCTCCAAAGTGCTTTGTTTTTCGCCTTTCTTTGTTCTCTCTCTTCATATAGCTTCTGATACCCCCCTTTCTCTCCCCTCTGCCCTTTTATAAGTGTTAGAATTAAAATAGAGTAGGCAGGAAAGAGGAGAATCCGCTCAATGCCTTGAAACGGCTGAGCAGTTTGAAGAATTCTTCACCATGAAGTAATCTGAAGGGTTGAGCCGTTCAAATCCACTGAGCGTTTGAGAGATTCTTCACTGTTAAGCAAGCACAAAGGGCTGGGCGCTTCATATCCGTTGAGCGCCTAGGAGGCAGAAAGCACTCCTTCTTTTAGGGCCAAAACCACTTAGCACCTTAGAGTGGCTGAGCGCCTCTCCTTTGCTGCATTTGTTGAGATCTCTGGCTTGAAGGCGCTCAGCCGTTTTAAACGGCTGAGCCGTTTGCCTCCAAACTTCAAAAACTACAAAATAAGAGGAAAATCTGATCAAAAACTCATCACTCCATATAATAATGTAAATTAAGAGCCCCTATTTGATTCTTAATGTATTTGCCAAAATTATATCAATATATACAAAAATTATGCTAGATAAGTGTCTCAAATCTAAATTTCATCAAACTAATTAGACACTTATCACCTCTAAAGTTTGAGGAGAGAGAACACATGTTTTTCAGGGTGGCACTCACTACTGGTTTGGGAAGGGCAGTAAGGGCTAAGAAGCTCACTTTGAGGTTTATTGGTCCTTACCAGATCCTTCGTCATGTAGGTCCGGTAGCTTATCAGTTGGTGTTGCCTCCGGTTCTGTCTAACCTGCATGATGTGTTTCATATTTCACAGTGAGGAAGTACATTAGAGACCCGAGTCAAGTGGTAGAGATGGATGAGGTGCAAGTTAGAGAGACCTCGACCTATGAGAAGAGACTGGTAGCTATGGTTGATCACAAGTTGAAGGAGCTTCGTGGCAAGTTCATCAGCTTGGTGAAGATTCTTTGGGATGCAGCTGCTGGTGAGGCTACCTGGGAGGTGGAGAGTCAGTTCAAGGAACAGTATCCATTCCTCTTTTTAGGTAAGCCCATTTTCGGGGACGAAAATTTCTATTTGTTGGGAGGTATTGTAACGTAGTAGGTTATTTCAAAAGGCCCAAAAGCCCAATATGGGTGATTTAGTAGCCCAGAACGGGCCGTTCCCAAACTAGAACGGGTCGTTCCAAACCACTAAATTGACTTGTAAATCGTAGTTGAGAACGGGTCGTTCTGGAGGGAGAATGGGCCGTTCCAAACCCCAAAACGGGGCGTTCTAGAGGGAGTACGGGCCGTTCTGGATGGAGAACGGGGCGTTCTGGATGGAGAACGGGGCGTTCTGGATGAGTCCCAAAACGGGTCGTTCTACATGTGATTTTTGTACGTGATGAAGGGGTGCGAAACGGGTCGTTTCGGATTCAGAACAGGTCATTCTGGCCACTCCGAAACTTCTATAAATAGGGGTTGGTGGTTGAGGAGAAAGTGAAGATTTTAGAGAGAAGGACTCTGGGTCTGTGAGCTATTTTCTCTCCCAAATTTCTCTGTATGATTCCTTTTCTCCTCTAGATCATTAATTCCTTCTGTATTTTGCTATGTTGTTTAATGCTGAGTTGTATGCTGTTATTGCCGCTAAGCGGTGTTGTTATAGCCACTAGTGTGGTGCTGTTATTGCCGCTATGCGGTGCTGTTATTTATAAGATAAGTAGGCAAAATATAAATGTTTTCTGTTTTGCTTTTTGAATGTTCTGTTACGTTCCTTATGTGATGTATAGTGTAAATATGTATTTGATTTTGAAATTAGATTAGTTCTAATATGAATTAGAGTGCTCTGTGGGTTCTTACGGGAAACCCTATGAGAAAACTGGCAAAATTAAGACTTTTGGAAGAGAGAAAATTCTGAAAAAAAATTAGAAATCTCTCAATATATGCTCCAAAAGTGTTTACAAAGTCAAGGAAAAAACTTGTATAGCGAGGGAAAAGCTTGTGGTGCATGCTAGACTAACTATGGTTCGAGTAGCCCCATGTTTAGTTTTCTTGCACTCAAGCTAAGTAATTTCAACAAAGGGAAGAGCTAGGCGGCCAAGGGAGATTTCCTTCACTTAGTACAATCCAAAAATCTTTGAATTGGTTTAGTTAGGTTCACCAAATGATGGTGAGACCTAGCTAAATCTTGGAAAAAAAATGGAGGAAAACAAGCCCAATATGTAAAATTTAGCCTAGGCCCACTTTTGGCCCAATTTCTAGTTACACATACACACCTTACTATTTGTCATCCCACTTCTACTACTAAAAATATGAAAGGGATATCGTATAAGAAAAGAAGAAAGTTCCTTACAAATACAAAGGCAAAATAACCCTATACAAGTAACTACTATGTATAAGTATCTTACAAAGTATATAAAATGGAAACTAAGGGACTAAAAAGAGGAATCATACTTAATTCTCATGAAGAGCATAGATCTAATATGCACCTTCTTTATAGAAGCCTCCTCTAGCCTCCTAACCATGGACCTAGTTAAAGGCCCAATGCTCGAGGGCCTAGGCATTCCCTGAGTTTGTGATTCATACTCAAAATAGTAGAAAGAGGGTGCCCCTTAGAAAGGCCTAGGTGGTTTGACTACTAG